AGTACCTAGGATCAAACTCAGGACCATACACTTGCAAATTGCTAGGCAGGCCCTTATGCCACTGGGCTATATCCCTGGCCCCCAAGATTTTTTTTCTACTGCTATGCAGTATCTTTTTTTGTCATAAATCAGGATCTGAGCAACTGTGGATCTATTTCTGTACTGTATTTCATCTATCTGTCATTCTGTGCATTTCCAGTATCTTAATTACAATAGCTTTTACATACATATTGCTATTTGGTAGTAGAAATTTTTCAACTTTTTTTCCCCACATTCTCCTAGCAATTCTTGGTGATCCATTTCCGAGTACAATATAGAACCAGTTTGCTAACTTCCACAAAGATCCTTCTGGGCTTTGATTGGCTTTGTAGTGAGTTTATATATCAAACTGACAAGAGCTGCTACCTTTAACGCAATACATCTTCCAATCAATGGGTATCTTACATCCTGTTTTTTTTTTTAGGTTTTCTTTCATTGTTATATTATTAGTTGCTATACTAGTAGTTTTTAGTATAGAGGTCTTGCACATTTGTTAATAACTTTCGTGAGACCTAACTTAGTTATTAAGTATAAGCAATGCACATAACATTTTCTAGAAGCCTTATAAAAGAAGTATGTGGAATCCATTTTAATATTTTATCCAACCCAATATCCTTAAAATATTTTTTTTGCAGAACTGGGGATTGAACTCAGGCCCTTGTGCTTGCCAGGCAAGCCACATGTAGCTTGTAGCTATCACAGTGGACAGCAAGCAGTATGTTAGTCTCCTTTTATTAGTTAGCTTCTATTTCTCCTTGTATCCCTTGTAGTGCCTGTTTTATGTAATGTTGTTTGGTGCATGGAGAGCCGAAACTTTCACATCATCCTGTGAATTGCTGTAGCTGCCATTATATATTGTCCATCTTAGTTTTGTTTCAATGCTTTTTGGCCTGAATTCCATTCTGTGGTAACAGCACAAGAATACTTGGTTTTTTGTTGTTTCCTTTTGCTTTGCAAGTCATTATTTAGTTGTACTTTTAGCCTTTTCAATCATTATGTTTATTCCACATAGCATATAATTGGGCTTTGCTTTTCAAGTCAACTGGAAAATTTAAGTAGACAAGTTAAACCTATTCACATTTATAGACATGACTCACATTGGGTTAGAACGCCGCCATATTATCTTACAACTAATGCATTATACTAATTGTCTCTACTTGGTCATTTTTTGTACAAGCTCTTTTGTTATTTAGGAAAGTTTGTATGTTTGTATGTGTTCTTTCCATTTTTATTATTAAAGTCCAATAGCTTTATTAGAGTATGTCTTGGAATTGACACAGAACTGGATCAATTTTCCACAGCTTAATGTTTTCTTGCTACTATTCTTCAATCCATTTAACTTTTACTTGTTCTGTTATGCCTTTGGCATCTTGTGTGTTCAACTTTTATTTTTTTAGATGAAGTTTTTATGTTACCCAGGTTGGTCTTGAACTTGTGCTCAAGCAGTTATTCCTTCAGTCTCTTGAGGAACAGGGACACAGGAATGCGCTACCTTCCTCAGCTTAGCCTTCCTTTTTAATAGGATTCTGTAATTTGCTTTCCTGAGTTTGTTCAGCTTTCTATTTTCTTGTATGTTTTTTGTCCATCTATGTCTACAAGCACACTTTAATTTTCTGAATGTAGGCTACTGACGCTAGGTAATGAATAACTAAACTTACTTTCTTTTAGGTTTCTGTGTCAAAATTTTCTACATTAAGCCAATTAAATACAAAGGTTCCATCAAGAAAGGAGAGAGACTTGGAACTCTACTGCCGCTGCAGAAAGTTTATCCTGGCATACAGTCCCATGTACACATTGAAAACTGTGACCTGAGTGACCCCACTGTGTACCTGTGAGCAGAAAATAAAAACCAGATCTTATCAATAAAAAATCATCTTAAAAACTTTGATGTCCTACATCTGAAGCAACCTGTGTTCAAACAGAAACACAATGAATGGAAGAAAGATGAAATCTTATTTTGACTGTCACTCTGATGTTTGTGTTTGAATTGGTATTGTAGGGCTTTTAGATTTCTGTCACCTATAGTAGTTTTATGTTTTTGTTTTCTAAGTCCTGCAGACCTAAGGTAAATAAACAAGTGAATCCAAGCAGGTCCAGACTGTGTTTCTGAGACCTCTAAAATGAGCCTCGTTTCTTCTTGAAAGTGTGAAAGGGCCTAAACACCTTCGTAGAGCACAGGAATGAAGGGTAGCTTATAATTCTAGGTAAAGTAGTTCTCTTCATAGTCAAATTGGAACCTTCTTTTGCATGAAGGTAATAAAAGATTCTCAGCATATCCTTAGGTCACAAGGAGAGCTGCTCACATGGATAAGAATTTTCTGGTCCTTCCATTCACATCTTGTACAAGTAACTAGTTTCCTAGGTAATGCATGAGAGCATATTACAGAAAGAAAACCTAGTTTTGCATTTCAGAAAGTGCTAGAAAAAGAGGACTATGTGAAGAATCTCATGGAACTGGATCATTTGGCCTCCTTTAGCCAACTAGATATATATAATCATAGGTATTCCTCTATACCACTACATACTATTACTGTTTTACTTACGTTGATAACAAGTAGTAAGAGGATAAAAGAATATAAAAATGTTCAAAGGACCAGAAATAATTCTGGATCCCTAGACTTAAATTAGTAAGTAAGAAACAAGTAAGATAAATTACTTTTTTTTTTTTTTTTTTTTTTTTGGTGGAACTGGGGATTGAATTCAGGCCCTTGCGCTTGCCAGGGAAGCACTTATTCCACTGAGCCATCTCCCCAGCTCTGATAAATTAATCACTGCAGAAAATTTACAAATTTTTGCTCAAATTCTTTTGAAATGTAGAAAACCCCAGTAGAATGATTCCATTTTTAGAAGGAATGCTAGCAGAAAAGATAAGTAATTTTTTTTTTACAAACTGTATTTAATTTTTCATGTATTTGGTACAGGGTCTCACTACGTAGCTCCAGCTTGTAGTGATCCTCCTGTGCTTGTAGTGATCTCCTTCAGCCTCCCCAGTGCTGGGATTACAGGCGTGTGCCATCACACCTGGTCTTGTGGCTGGTTCAATGTGTCCTGGGGCGGGACTGGCTGGCTTCGCAGCTTGCCTATACAGGTACTTAGTCTGTTGAGCATCTCACCAGCCTTCTAAATTTTATTTTTGAGGAAATTGGGCTGGGGTATAGCTCAGTAGCACAGTTCTTGCCTGGCAACCACAGGGTCCTGAATTCAATTCTTGGTACCAAAAAGAAGGGGGGCAGCAAGTCTTCAACAGAAGAAATCACTTCATTTGTACACTAGGGCCTATATATAAGAATGTTCATGGTATCACTATGTGGCATAACAAAATCTGGAATAATCCAAATGTCCATCAAAAGCAAAATATTTTAAAAATTATCATTTTTATTTTTTGCAGAACTGGGGATTGAACTCAGGCCCTTGCGCTTGCCAGGGTAGTGCTTATTCTACGGAGCCATCTCCCTGGCCCCTTTTAAAAATTATTATAGTTATGGGATGCAACATTCTATAGCAACCATAATAAATGAACCTCCACTAAACATAACAAAATGGATGAATCATATATTATACAATAATTTTAAATTAGTAGAAGTAAAGCAAATCCCAGTAAGGCTGATACTTTTATTCAAATCAAAGCAACAGAAATCAAAATAACATCTCTAAGAAAACACATTAAAGTAATAGAATTAAATGCAAGGTGAGAAAACAATAAAATTAGTTATCTCAGGACTAGATAAGGAACAGTCACACAGGAAGATGTAAGTTACTGTCCGTGCTGTAGTTTTGCAGTTGATGTTGATTTCATGACAACTGCTACAAAGATTTCATAGGCAACAGGATTTCTATCGAAGTAACCAGAAAAGCTAATTCTGAATCTTTATGTGGTTGAGAAAATTAACACTGTTTTACATCCAACTAGATACATTCTCCATTATGCCATAAAATGTAAGACAAGAAAGTTAAGCATTTATTTTTTGGTTAAGAAAAAACTGTAGCACCACCTCATATAGTGGTATTTCTTATTTTCTTGGCACCCCAGTAACTTTAGCTTGTTTCTAGAAATTTAATACGCATTCAAAAGATAAAAGGCCATGCTCCCACTGAAGACACAAAAAAAGAAAATGGCACAGAAGCTTTAAAGGCAACTTTAACACAGGCCTAATGTATTTGAACAGTGAAATCTAAGCTTAGCCTTCACAAATCTTCTAAAGTGGTTATTAAGGAAGGGAATGGAAGTTGCTTATGTATGCTGTTTCAAAATCAAGCTCATGACCTAGAGAGAAGAGCTTCCCCAAAGCACAGCCAGAGCACTGCTCTCTGCTTAGCATTTGTATCTGTTCAACGGAAATGTAAACTTTAAACAAAGGACTTCTTTTTCATCAATAACTGGTATTCAGCGCCCTCTGCTGCATTACATAAGGTTTTTTTCTTTATCTGGTTCAGATATCAAAGCATTCAGCTTTAAATGAAACAGTATATACAAAAGTTACATTTTTAGTTATATAGGTCTTACTTTAACTTGGTCTTAACCATCCAGCAGAAAAATATAACCATGAGGTATAAAAAGTAAAGCCATATTAATATGCTGAGCTGTAAAAGGCTAAAGTCAACAACTTCTGACAATTACCAGTCCTGCTGATAACCCACTACTATTATGGACTATTGGACCATATTGGGTTACTTTGCTGAATTCAAGTACCTACAATTATTTGAACTGGCATCCACTATGAAAAGGTCCTTTAAAAACTTCTCCTAATACAGCTTCTCTAACAGCAATGGAACACCCATCTCTGACAAGACAAAACAAAAAAGGGGGATATAAATAAAGGACCATTTTGTAGTGAAAAAAACGTATGTATACACAAAATAGGATAGATACACAACAACTTTCTCTTAGTTCAATGAGAAAGATTTGTACTAATATTATTTAGACAAGATATCATGTCTGCATTTTGTCCTCTGAATAACCACTAAGAAGACAATATACAGTGTATTAATTATTATAACTGTCCTACCAGCCTGTTTCAAAAAATAAAATAAAGAAATAGTATAAAGTTCACATGAGAAGTAACAGTACTGAGTAACATTTCATAGACTTCTGGTTACCTAAGGATTTTTTTTTATTAGATATATGCTATATCTAGTATTAAAAATACCCCTTATTTTCTCATTTTGGGCTGTCTCTAAATGTTTGTTCTTCCATATATCACCCAGTAATCAGACCAATCAAGGGCTTAATGAATTAATGAACTTGACTTACTCTGAGTTTTGCTCTAAGATTCACTGCAATGCTTAATTCATGGGGTTTAAGTACGAGGCTTCACTGAAAGCCAAACCTGTCTCAGGTGAAGAGACCAATGGTGCTCCTTGTCTCTATTAGTAGGCAACAAGGAGAAACTCCCGTGACTGCTCCTCTCAGTCCCTCTCTCTGTTCTTCATCCTTTATCTCCTAGTGCAAGCATGAGGGGCATTTTGTCACCTTACCATGCAGGTAAATACAGTATCCTCCCACTTCTCCTTCACTAAGGTGCATTAAGGCAACACCAGGAGACCCGAAGCCTACCTCTCTGATATTTGTGCCATTACCCCGACTCCCAACTCCATCTCAGTTAAGCCATTTCTTGTTTGCGGTTCTGTTACCATCATCGGATTTCAGGTTTTTTGTTATATGCTGCTTCTGCACCTTCCTGAAATTGTACTGCATAAATAATACAATCTGCAAGATGTAGCTCTGCCATCTAGAAACTGTTTTTGTATTTTTTGTTCAGCAGACCCAGTGCCACTGTCACAAAGGGAGCACTTTCTAATGTAGTACACACTTTGTCCTGAGGGCAAGAAATACCAAGTGAGTCTGAGGTGCCTGTCCCAGAGTTCATATGCAAGACTGTGGCACAGCACTGAGAATGGACGCACAAGAACAGCTTTTAATACAGCAGAGAGACTTGAGAATGCCTTTGGATTAGTGGGTGAAGATAAAATTTAAATTATTATTAAAATATTTAAAATTGGAAGATAAAAACATTTCATATTATTTTTTCATATTCTTTTCAGTTTAACTGATTTCTAAGAAATAAATTTAAGACACAGCAAAGCATACAGGGAACTAGTTTGAAAAAGGAAGTGGTTAAGGACAATGTCTACTATATTCATTATAACTAGGTACTGGGGACAGAACAGTAAACAAAAGCAATAGTGACTTTTGCACTGATGGAGTTTACACTACAATGGAATAAATTGGTAACAATCAAACAAGTAAAAACAGTAACAGCAGTAAGTGCTGCAAAGAGCAACCACAGAGTACTGAGCACATGCACAATAGGAACCTGCCTTAGCAGCAGGGAACAGGCCAAGAACCAGGAAGCTTTGGGGATGAAGTGGCGCTGAAAGGTGAGGAGAGAAAGGTAAAGCCAGGCGCAACGTGCAGATGCTTCGTGACTGGAGGGTGCAAAGCAGTTTGAGGAACTGAGAGTGGGAGAAAGGCAAAGCGCAGCCTGTGGAGAAAATCAGGCCAAGAGGCAGGGAAGAGCCAGATGCTGCAGGTCACTTGACCGAGATCCTCATGCCACAGACAAAATCCAGGGAAGAGGTCCAGCTGTGTTAGCACTTCAATTATTACACCACTCACACAAAGGATCTGGCATAGTCCTGCATCTCCTTCCTGCAGGCTGGAGAATGTTTATTCCCTCCAAAATATGCCATATGAAACTTACTCCTTTGTGTAGTATATTTAATCAATTAATAGTCACAGTATCTTGTTTGCTTTCATAGTATCTTTATAAAATGAGTACTTTTATCTAATGCCAATTATTATATAAAATAGTTAATATAAAAGACTTCAAAGTATCTTTTAAATCAGAAGCTGTTTAAGTCAGACACTTGAGTTTAAATATTGCATAGTTTCTCTTATATGAGAAATCCAAAACATAAAGAGCAAAATAAAATAAAGGATAAATAATAGGAAGTAGAGAGACCTTCAAATTGGAAGGGGGACAAGAAATAGAGGGAGAGGGAGGAAAGGAAGAGAAAGGAATAAAAAAAAGAATTGAAAAAATATAACTAGAGCCTTTGCAAATGGAGGGGAATAAGAGAGCAGAGGAGGAAGGGAGGCAAAGCAGAGGAATAAAGAATTAAGATGCACTGTGTACAAACTTCCCATGCTCACTGTTACCATTGTGTACTGCAAACATGTACTTACAAAAATAATTTAAAAAGATGATCTTATAGAGTGCTAAAATTTTATATGTACAATTGAATAAACCTCTGTATCTGGATTTGACTCAATTTTAATGCTATGTAAAATATATTAATACCAAGATAAACTAGATAAAATGTGAACAATATGAAGTCATATAGTAAAAGGCATGCGCCAGAGTTGCCTGCCTGGTAAGCACAAGGCTGAGTTCGAACACTGCTACCAAAAATAAATAAAGACAAAAGGCATAACTTAAGGGATCCAAGTTTAATGTTATAAGTCTATTTAGTAAGCCAAAGTATGCCTTTAAGGAAGGCTTAGAAATCTACTTAGAAACCATCCATAGTTTTTAGTCCATCAAACATCCCATTGAACATACCATCTCTGCCATCTACTAAAACACTTCTGGCAATTCAAATTTCTTATACTTTTTCAAATTATTCTGCAGTCAGCCACTAAAACAATTTACAAACAAAATATTTACTTGAAATATTTCTGCAAGGTATTTAAAGTTTACATTTCCATAGGTAGAAAGCAACTAATCTTAATGAGAAAAAAAAAGATCAGACTGGTTGGCAACTGGTTACCAGACGGGCATCACATCAGGAAACCACACCCTTCCCAGGTATTTAGAGACTTCAGTATGAATTTCTTCAAGGCTGTAACTGTCATCTGGGATCAGAACTTCTTCCATGATAGAGAGCTGGGTGAGCCTTCTCCCACAGATTTTTACAAACTCAATGAACGCACTACAGCTAACTTCACATTCACTGAGGCCCAAAGCTGTTAAGTTTTTACAGTGTTCAGCAATACAAATAAGTTCACTATCAAGCGGCTGAAGACCATTTGCACATACCACTAACTCTATTAGTCGTGGGCAGTTATGACCTATCCGTCCCAGAACTGCTTTGCTTACAGAGCGACCAAAATAAAGGTGAGTAACAGGGTTTTCTTCTTTGAAGAATGTCTCAAATTCTTCTTCATATAAAAAGAAGTACATAACAACATTAACTCCTGGGGAGTGTTTAATAAGCGCATCCCAACTGTGTTTTTTAATAGAATGAAATTCCACCTGTCCAGGGTTTTCACTTACAACATCAATTCGAAGATGTTCGAGATTAACATGAGTCTCGCTTGAAAGTGCTAGGAGGAGTTCATCACTTAGAATGTAGTAATTCAAGGCCAGTTCTCTAAGGCCTTGACACTGGTCAGCCACACAGAGGATTCCTGTGGGAAATTGAGTTTCTTAAGAAAGAATCATACTGATGTGACATTTTGTAAATTTAAATTTGACACAAATATCACCTATTTCCTACAACAGATATCTGATCATTTCCAAGGAGATGCTTCCAAAGATGTTAACTATATAGATAACACAAAGTATATATCTACATATATAAAGTATCAAAATATTTGCAAAATAATTTAAACAATAAATAACTGAAAAATAATACCTATTTTAAATAAAATGACTTAATTATGTTTCATAACATGCAATTTTCAATATGAAATTCTAAAAGTACATGTTGGTACATTCCTATAATCCCAGCACTTAGGGTAAGGCAGAAAGATCACAAGTTTGAAGCCAGTCTGTGTTACATACCAAGTTCAAGGGCAGCACGAACTACACAGCAAAACTCTGTCTCAAATAAACAGAAAAATTCTGTTACTTTTATATAGTAAAAAATGTAACCTACCATCAGATGAAACATGAGGACAGCTGCTCATTTTTAGGAGCCTTAGAGTGTCACTATTATTGGCCACGAGGATCTTCAGTGAAGGGTCATCCACTGGTGTGTCTTCAATTTTGATTGATGATAATGATTTGGAGTTGATGAACACAACTGTAAGTGCTGATACAAAATGAGACTTGCATGGCAATAAGAAGAAAAGTACGAAAACATTATTTAAAATTCTACAGCTTAAACCAAAAATAATACATTAAAACTACATCAAAACATTATAACAATAAAATCAATATATTACTTTTCATAGTACCATTAGCCAAAAAAAGACGTTTTTAGAACAAAGCACAGTTTTACACTTTTATAACTAACAGATGAAACAGAGGGAAAAAGTTTCCAAAATTCACAAAACAGATTTCCCAGTTATTTCTAACCTTAAGAATCTGGTTTTCAGGGGCTAGGGAGATGGCTCAGTGGAATAAGCACTTCCCTTGCAAATGCAAGGGCCTGAGTTCAAACCCCGGTTCCGCCAAAAAAAAAAAAAAAAGAATCTCGTTTTCAATTTTTAAAGGATACAGTTATATTTATTTCCCAGAGTAAAGATTGACAAATTATGGACCACTAGCCAAATCCAGAACAGTCTGTTACTGTATGGGTAATGAGCTAAGAATGTTTACATTGTCAAAGGATTGTTAGTAGACCTGCAATGTTCCCCCTAAGCCTCATTTGTTCAGAGGTAGGTATGAGGTAGGAGGTGACTGGACCACAGGACTACAGCGCGCTTGATCTTTGCCAAAAGGCTGAGAAGCGATGCACAGGACTATAGCTCAATGTGCTGGGGGCTGGGAGGGCCTGGTCACAAGTGCCAGGTCCCTGGGGCCATGCCTGGAAGGCTCTCCCCAGTTCCTCCCCTTTCCTCTCTGGTACAAGGCCATCATAACATGAGCAGCTCTTCTCTACAGCAGGCCCTTTCACAATGCTGTTTCTGTTTGAGCCCCTTGAAGATGTACTTGTGAAACCATGAAGCGAAGTAAACCTCTCTTTTAATACCTGCAGGTGTCAGGTTTTTGTCCCAGTGACAAGGAAAGTGGTTAAGTGTAACTATTAAAAGAATAATACTGTGTGAACTCTGTAAGACACACATAATTCAGTGTCCATAAATAAAGTTTTACAGACAGCCACACCCCTTCATTTACGCATTGTCTGTTTTGGTCTTTAAATTGCAAGACTGGAGCTGAGTATCTGAGCAGAACTGTACGGCTCTCAAAACCTGAAATATTTATCTTTTAGAACTTTTCAACTCCTTCTCTAGAAAATACAAAAATTCTTAATCTGTTTTATTTACTCATAATTTCCAGACCTAAAATAGTGCCTCAGTGACTTTTTACTTGTTGTTGGGACAAAACACCCGACACCCCAAATTAAGGAAGGAAAGGTTTATTTAGCTCACAGTTTATGGAGGTTTCAGTCTACATTCAGCCTGTTCCCAGGCAGAGCGGCATATGGCAGAGAACAGCAGTTCATGTCAGCAGAAAACAGTGCAGAGCAAAGGGAAAGGCAGCAGCTGGGGCTTCCAGCTAGCCTTTCTCCTCCTTATATTATGAACAGGCTACTCTCATAAGGAGCTGGGAGTGTAGAACTCACACAAGGTCCATGCCTTCCTCTAGCACAGGATGAAGATGTTTACCAACTAAGAATCCTAGTGGGCTGCTGAGTCACTTAATTAAACTTTTAAATTTCTCAAGTTGATACAATGTATCAACCAGTACAACTAGTACCCAGTTCATAGATATTCAAAAAATGCAGGAGGGGAGCCAGGAGAGAGGGGGAGGAGGGAATACATTCTGGTGATATACTTTCCCTAACAAATTACATGAATGAAATACATCCAAATATTTACATGCTTTGAAAATTTAAAAACTACATTTTCTTCTACATGTGCATTTTAGAAGTTCTCAGGTTCAAGGAGAGGAAGTTTGAAAACCATAACAACCAAGCATGATCATTTCTTTTTCTTCAAAATCAATCTGGATTCTAATAAAGAAATCTCTTATCCCTATGAGAATGACTAAACTGGTTATAAATGCTAATTATTTATAGAAGTATACTGATTTACATTCATTATACATTGGTTTATACGAAGTTTCACATGGTAGTGGGCCAAATTTCTACATATCATGGTACCCAAAGGAAATGTGTCTTTTCCTTTAAGAAATAGGTTTATTTTTCCCTTTAATAGTCATTTCAGCCTTAAAGGAAATTTAAGCTTTAAAGTACATATTGCATTATAATAACAATGTATTTGCTTAGTAATTGTGCTTAGCAGAAATGATAGGATTTTACCTTAGCGTATATGTGAAAAACAAAATAAAACCCAGTCTTGGTGAGAACGCCAACCTTGCTAGAGACTACTGAGCTCATTTTAATTGAACTTAGCTTGCGAATGTCTGGGCCTGCTCCGGTGAAGGCAGCAGGGGTGAGAAGCTGGCCCTGAGGCTGAGGTGCAGCAGCCGCCACAGCTCTAGAGGGGAACAAGCACTTCAGGCTCATTTGATTCTACAGTTCATAAACAAGGAAATAACTGCTGAAAAGTACAAACTGCCATCTCTCATTCATAATTCCCAATAAGCCCCTTTTCCCAGTGTATCTCTTTCAAAGGTAAACATGCTGGCAGAAAGGTTCACTGAAAGATAGCCATCCGTGACCCAGCTTCGAGTGCAAAGATGCACCTTCTCTTCTACCCCTACAACTAGGGGGTCCGTTAGCCAGTTTTACAGACAACCACAATGTAGTGCTTATGGTGCATCAGGCATTATTTTAATTCTGGGTTTAATATGATGAACAACATGGATAGGATCTCATGTAATGAGTTCATGTTTGTTATAGGAATAAGAGAATAAATAATAGTAAGCGAGGGGGCCAGGGAGATGGCTCAGTGGAATAAGTGCTTCCCTGGCAAGTGCAAGGGCCTGAGTTCAATCCCCGGTTCCGCAAAAAAAAAGAAAAAATAGTAACCAAGGAAGGCAGCTTCAAGGAATGATGAGGAAGATAAAATACTGCCACAGCAGAGAGTAACTGGAGGTGGTCGCATTTTTAAAGCTACTGCTGGAGATTCTACTACATGAATTCGAGCAATGCTCAAACAAGGACAGCACCAGTTTAGCAAAGCAGGTTTGGAAGGAAGGGCTACCTGCAGAGAGGACAGTCAAAGTGAGTGTGAGTGAAGAGAAGACAGCAGTTTCTGTGGCCAAATGCTGCTTCCTAACGAGCCGTTCATCTTTTCTTCTTTGGCTAACATTCCCAATTTCTAGCTGGGTATGTTGCTGTAAAACTGTTCCCTCCTCTTTCTGAAGTGTAGGGTGCTCCCAGATCGAGACAGAAAGTATTCTGGGTACTTATAGGATGTCTCCTTGAGAAGAAGGCCCTTTTTTACCTCACATTTTCTCTTCATTCAAGTGCCTAGAGCAAGGACAGGATCACACAGGAGCTTAGAGTCATCTCAGATAATGAAAATTCCTGGGGAAGAGTGGAAGGGCTGGGAGAAGCCTAGACTTGTAGTAACTTCATACCTGCTATGGACTGTCTTACCTGTGGACTTCTTTAATGCAAAGGAAGTAAACTGCTGCAGTTTCTACTCTATGAACTCAAGCACTGCTCAAACTAGCATAGTTCATTTAGTTAAATCTAACTGTTCCATCTCCAAAACAGAGGCTATTGAACGACAGGAAAAATACCCAAGGTTGCCTTTATTTATTTTTTTATGAGAATACATTTATTGAGAGAAAGAAAGCTCCTGTCTAAGAGAGGGACAGGAGGGGGCACGAGCATGTTGTTCCCAGGAGGGTTGCCTTTATATACTCCATATTCAAAATAAACTAGCACTTGAAAATGGTAAATTTAACATCTAAATTTTATTTATTTATATTTTTAAAGATCTTTAAGATTTTAAGAACTTTAAAGTTAGGCTGCTTTATGAGCACTGCTCAAAAGAGTTACAGTTCGTTTACAGTGAACAGTCATCTAACTGAATGTACTGGACACAGCAATTAGAAATCTTCATGACAAGAGAAAAACCACAGCTGGCCTGCTGCACCCAGCAGAGAAACAACAAAAGAACAGGAGGAAAAATGTAGGAATGGAGGTGTTTATTATAAAATAAACAACTTCTCAGGAAACTTAAGAGGAATGTTCTGCACTGGGAGGAAGGACATCAGGATACAAAATTAAAATTGTCCTAATGCCAGCTCTGTCCCCAACTCTTAAGAGCACAGTGGAAGGAGACAGTTGAAGCAAACAGGCAATTCTGTAAATTTAAACTTAACCCCCCTAAGAATTTGATTAAAGTCTAAACTTGTTTTGCCTTCAAAAAAATTAATTTATCAAAAGGCCTGTTTTAGTGACATACTAGCCCCACTGGAAGAGAATTCCTGTACACCTGACGTGTTCATGCTGACAAGCCAACTCATGCTGCTAACATGTGGTGTGTCTTCAAACCCAGCCACAAGGCTCAAGTGACAGCTAGGACTGCATATCCACCTGCTAACTGTCCAGTGTCCTCCCACACAAGGGTGGGCAGGGAGGGGCCACCCTTACTTGATAACAAAGGACCAAGAGCTGCCCAGGTGACTTCTACCTAAAAGATCTTTATTTCTAAACTCCATTTAGCACCTAGTGACCAGGATGACTTACTTTCTTAAGAAAAAAAAACCCCACACATATCCACATGTAATAGTTTGCTTTTAACTTTTCTTTGATGTACCATACCAGGGATCAAACTCTGAACCTTGTACTTGCCAGGCTGGCACTCATGCTGCTGAGCTATCTTCCTGGCCCAAATGTGTTTCATCATCTTTTTTTTTTTTTTGGTAGGGGGGTACTAGGGATTCAACTGTTTGCTTTTATATTTAAATATAAAAATACTACTCTTGAAGACAACAATATGCAATACAACAAATACTGTGAAATTTATATTTTGCTTAATGAAATTCCATATCATTTGTAATTTTTGTTTTAATACTGTTTTGTACTCTTTAAAAAATAAAAATTTAAAAAAATACTATTCTGCTTTGTGCTATCAATGGAACACCAAGCAGTAAGAACATTTTATTCTTTTGTTTTGTTTGTTTTTGCTGGAGCCAGGGAATGAACTCGGAAATAAGCGCAAGGAAGAGCTTATTCTACTAAGCCATCTCCCAGCCCCCCATTTTAATTCTTTGAAGGTAGGGATATCCATCAGTTTACTCAGTGGAGAGGCCTAAGGAGGGCATTCCTCCCTGACCCAGTCATTCCTCCTTTTCTAATTGCTACTTATACCTTAGAAAATAGAGTTTCTAGTTTGGACATGGTGGCACGCTCCTGTAATCCCAGCACTCGGGAAGCTGAAAACAGGATGATCACTATGAGTCTGAGCTGCATAGTGAGACCCTGTACCAGATACATCAAAAAATAAATAAATAAAAAATAGAGATTCCCATCAAGAGAGGCCCTCACTTAACCAAGTCAGGCCTTTTCCTTTTCAGCTACCCTGAAGGAAAAAACTTCCCTTTTCCCCACTCCTTCACAAACCAATTTTGTATTAATGATAGCTGTAAAAACAATTACTAAAATTACAAGCTAGAACTAAAGAATAAAAACGTATATGGGGCTGGGGCGATAACTCAGTCTAAGCACCAGCCTGGGCAGCGCAAGTTCCGGAGTTCAATCCCTGGTACCACATGTCGTGTGGCCCCAAAACCTGAGCGCACCGTGCTGGCCCCAAAACCACCAAAGCGTGGTGGCACATGCCTGTAATCTGAGCACTGAGGATGCTGAGACAGGAGGATCACTAGTAGTCTGTGCCAAATAAATAAATAAATAAATAAATATGAAAGGAAAAAATACATGAAGAACTTAAAAATAAAATTGCTAATCAACAGAAAACTGCTGCGATACTTTACCAAAGGAGAATATTGGTAGAATAGAAAGCCTTTGTTCCTAGTTTGGCAATATTTAAGAACTTATTCTATCCCACAAAAAAAGGACAGTATCCTCACCTTTGACACATTCATAAAACTTGGCTTGGCTGTTGAAATCAGTCCCAGAGTCTGGAGAGAACAATTTACTAGCTGAGAAAGTATACTGCAGGCAGTTTCTGCTGATTCAGTACTACTATCAACCTGTAAAGATAATTTCTAGTATGAACTTTCTGAAGTTTTATTTTCAGAGTAACTGGAAATAAAATTAACAGAATTCAACTGAAAATTTTTACTTATTCCTTGAATATAAAAGAGTATCTTTATTCAGAGTATCTCATAAAGTGAGAAACAGATGAGGATAAATTAACTTTACAAAGATTTATTTTCAAATCTTTTAGAACTACCTAATTTTTAATACTACTATGCAGACGAAGAAAGCTAAAGGTTAAGTTATTCAATTAGAGTTGAAGTTCTCCATTCAACCTACCCGTAACTAGAGAAAAACAAGAAACACAAGAAAAACAAGGACAAAAGTTCTGGAAAATTTACCGAGTGCCTCAAGGATCCAGATATACAAAACGTTGTGAATGAGGTATAAACAGATGCTTGTACTGAATGCTTCCTTTCCTTACCTTGAAGCTGACATACTGAAGATGTGCAGCATGCTTTTTAATGATCTGCTGAATGAGATCAGGATGAGTAGACTTAAAATATGAAGTAGCTGACTGGCTCAGTTCAAACTCAAACTTTCTCCAGAGGTCAGGAATATGAAACACTTCATTCCATCTTCTGCATACAGAAGATGCTCGAGCCCGATCTATTAAAGGAAGATACTGAAAAATTCGTAACACTACATGGTGAGGCAAATTCCCCCAGTCTTGAAGAACAGTGTACATGTGAGTCTGCTCAAGGGAGGGGCTGAACCCAAGTCTCAGCTGTTTCACGGCTGGTGATGACCGGATAACTGTATTCACAGCAAAGAAATTGTTCCTCTTCATTCTGAAAGTATCAGCAAGTGTTGGGTTTGATCTTTTTATGTTACCATCAGAAAGTAACATTCTACCTGTACAGAGTAATATTAGAAAATGAAAAGTTAAAAAAAGAAAATGAAAAGTTATTTAATACAAATTTATTAGTAATCTTCCACTACCACACATTGATAGGTACTGCTTTGCGCTAGCAATACTAAGATAACTAAGTGCAAACCTATTCTTAAATGGTAAACTACAATGACAAATAATATGATTGAGGTTGGGACAAGCTTCAGTGCAAGAAAAAGAGAATGTTGATGTGAATGAGTCTGCATGAGAAGTGGTTAGGAAGCTTCTGAAAGGAAATGTCCAAGGAAGCAGGATACTGATGTCCCAGTTTTTGCCCCTGGTCAATTGTAGTTTCTTACTAGATCCTACAAAGAAGGAAGCATCACACACTGCAATTTTGCTAAGAAGTCCTGGGAGGTCTAAATTACAGTACAATGTAATTAAAAGCCTAGGTTTGGGCAAGCCTCAAATTAAGCTGCTTACTAATCAGGTGATATTCTAAGAGAAAATTACTCTTTAAGCCTCAGTTTTCTCATCTATAAAGCAGAAAGAACAGTAGTACCCATCTGATGAGGTTGTGAGGACTGAAATATTTTACATGGCATCACAAAGGAAGTAGTTAATGAATTCTGCAGCCTTGCTGTTACACTAAATTACACAATGAATTTTCTAGATCTATTTTCATTCCTTAGGCCAAAGCGTCATTCTAGACAAATGCAAATGACTCACAACCATTTCCCTGACAGCAGGCACTAGGGAAGGCAGGTGTATAATGAACAGAGCTCTTTGTGCAAGCAACTAGATCCTCTCTAGTCAATAACAGCAAGAGCATGGACAGCGCTCCACACACCGAAGCAAAGAGGAATCCACAGGTATCAGCTAAGTCACAACAAGTTTGAAATCCAAATATACTCAAATATATTTTGTCATCTTCTACCTATATCTTATGTAAGACTATAGAGAATTGTAAGTATTAATTATTTCAACAAGGAAAATAATAGAAAGAACAGTTCTGAATTTTAAGTAATGTTCCTTTCACCCTTCAATGTTAGGAATGTATACGTGAAATATTCAGTGTCATAACTGAAACGTGCCTTCAAAGCTAATGAAATATTTATTTAACATGTAAATATACCTGTCTTATGAGTCACTCTGTCTGATGTGAAATAGTTCTTAACCACAATACAGAGTTGGATCCCAGAAGCAGGACTGACCTATGAAGTTACTAAATAAAATGGAAAGTCATCTTTATGGTTTGGAAAACTGAAATGAATAATAAATACAGCTGCAAAGCTACACCTAAGTACAAAAAAAGAGCTACTATGTACATTTCATTTGAATAAACCAGTTATGCACATGAGAACATAACAGAGAATACAAGAAATTGCTAATTATCAATAATTCAAAGCATATTCCACTCATCTACTCTTTAATGCTAGTTCCATAAAAAGTAAGGTAAAGGAATGGAAGATGAATTCTAAACTCAGATACAGAGTACGTGCATTAACATTTTGCTTGTGATCTATCATACTGGGTTGACCTATAAAATGGATAGCTGAAATTTCACTGAATTATTAATAAAATGCTAGCCTTAATATCCTGTAGTAAGAAGCAGTGAAGCCAAACATCAAGAATTCACCTAAATAGTAGGCTAGAAAACTGCCTTAGTTTGCTACACAAAGGATTATGCTACATATTAAATCTGATTGTACTAACATGATTAACATCATTTAATAAAGTCATTAGTCAATTTATTGGTAACAGAATCACCATATATAAAGGATATTATGTGAATATCAATAATCTAGTAAAATTAACATATGATTTTCTTTTCCTTACGGACATTAATTTTCAGATTATAAAATTTATCTGCAAATTATAAAGTTCATATAAACAATTTTAGGACTGCATCAATAAAAGCTCTTTTTTTAATGTAAGACAAATTTAAATTGATTTTTATCACTTTGAAAACCATGGCATAAAATACATATGTAACCACTTAAAACATTGTAATTTCTTTTTAAACCTAATAAATTGATCATTTCTTTTTTAAGCCTTTCTTACCTAAAGAAGGCTTCCAAGTTATAGTTCACTCTGACCCAACGAAACGAAGCAACTGCTGCCATGGGGTACTCACCAGCATCCATCTGATTTCACTTCCTATCTTGGCAAGATATCACAAAACATATTCATCAGAATTACAAGTAAACATCCAGTAATTCTATGCTTATATTATTTATACATCATTATCTACATTGAAGAGTTCTGCTAGGGAATTAGTTCCAGAACTACTCTATGTCGATTAAAAAAACTAGCCTGGTTAGTGGAAATACTCCAATACTCCTCAGAAATGATATCTGAAGCTTTGCTGACGCTATGGTTTAGTTAGTCAAAGGGCTCTGAAAATCCACATTTAATAGCATCTACAGAGAAACATTACCAAATATTTAAAACAGGTAATAACTACTTTTATTCATTTATAGGCTGTGTAAATATTTCAGTTCTAGTTTTTAATAGTACATAAAATCATCAGTTAAAATAATCAAACAGGCAAACTTACAACTTTTATTTACCATTTCCATATGAAATCATTTGACTAGTCTGTGATTAATAAAATACATGCTTCTGACATAGTGACAGACTTGGCATTGATTCATGCACATTCTTTTTGAGGTTTGAGCAAGTGCAGGCAAAATGACCTATCAGAGTTAGGAACAAAGTTTATAAAAATGGAAGAGAACAGCAGTAAGTATACACCAGGATAAAATCCAAACATAGCCTTGGCATCACTGATAAATGTTGTAAAGGAGACAGACAGACAGACAGACAGACAGACAGAGGGACAGGGACAGAGATAGAGACAGATGGGGAAGAAAAACAAATGCATTCTGCTTTTGTAAGCCTCACTCAACTACACAGAGGAGGCAGACAAGGCAACCTATCTATTCACTAAAGATCTGTTTTAAATATTTACTTTCTATCCTTTCCAGGTCTCAATTCATCTCTGAATTCTACCCCTAAGTCAGTGGCTTGAAGGACAGACACAAGAGTGTATATGGGCTCAGTTTCTACAGTCTAATTTTCCTGTTGCCATCAGTTCTGCTGTTATCAACCAAACCACTGTTTCCAGACAAAGGGAAGGGTGGTCCTCCCTCCTTGACATGGTATTCAGAATAAGGGTAAAGGAAGCCACGGAGCACACACCTTCAGGGAAATACCCAAATCAGAACAAGGCAAGTAACTGTATGCTCCAAATCAGATGACAATTTTATTTACTGCAGAGGCTTTCCACTGACTTCTAAAAATAGCTTATTCCTGTGTCTGTAACCTATTATTTTTACTTTAAAAATGTATTAATATGTAATAGATGTAGCTTTTGTTTGATACTGCAATACTTTCATATACAACATACAGCATGTACTGATAAGATCAAGGTAATCAGTGTCTTGATTTCCTTAGCATCTCTTTTATGTTTGAAGGCTTTATACCCTTTTCTCCTACTTATTCTTAAAATATACATTCTCATGACTTGTTGTCATCCCACTGTGCTATAAACAGTAGAGACTTCTTTGTTCTACTTGCGGTGCTCTAGTGCCTACTGTCCAACCTCCCTCCAGCCTCTCCTCCTACCCCCTAGCTTCTACACGTGATGGAACATGGAAAATACAGGGTGTTTGTATTTCTGTGTCTGGATGTGGGCCATTTCTTTTTCTATTCTTTTAAATTTTCATGAAAAAACAAAATTTCATAATCAAATAACAGGAGAATAA